ATATTTGGCGTTTGCATTTCTCTCTCCCCGTGGCCACGTGGATTTTTTCTTCCGGGTCCTCCAGTTTTTGCCTCCACCTTTTGTAAACATGCGTTCGGAGTATTTGGAATGAATTTACACGTGACGATAAGCCGCTTGCCATTTGTGGCCAGGTCGCTTATGAAAAAAAAAAGAGCCATATAGCTCAGTGGGCCTTGCTTGGTAACAATAAAAAAAAGTGTTTACAGTTTGTTAGATGAACTTTGCAGGCACACATTGCATCTGTGCATGATTAGTGCGGTTGGCTACGTCACGGCGCGGAAGAAGTTCAACATGCACGCATTTATTTATGGCGGGAGTCAATGCAGCTTGTCCACTCGTGCAGCGCCCGGAACGGTGACCGGGCGAAGAAAATGGGCGTGAGGGATGAAGAGGGGAGGGGGGAGGGAGGCGAGTTTGGCCGGGTGTCCGCCTCAGGGGGATCAAAATTGGCCGTGCCGGAGCACCCGAGCCAGCACTGTGGAGATCCTGGGCTCACATCCGGGTTTCAGCCGGCCTGTCATGTACATTGCACCGCATTGTTGGGTTGTTGCGGCCGAACGATGGTCACAGCCCTGATGATGCCAATGTTGTGAATGTGTCTATGGGACCTTTTTCGTCAGTGTCAAAGTTATGAAAAACATAAGAAGAGGCTTTATTTTTTTTTACCCTTTCTGGCGATAAAACAGGCGGTGTTAAGATGTTTAAACGCCAAACGGAAACCTTTTGCAAGGCATCAGGTCTGCATTAACCACACGTACTTGTGATGAACATGCAAACAAACACGCTCTGATAATAATACACGCATTGTCTTCGAAACTGATTAGCCTCCACCAGAGACTCCTTTATGGCCTTGTCTCACTAGTGTAAGACCAGAAAATGTCACAATGCAAAGGCAATGCAAGTATCAAAGTGTTAATAGCTCGGGTTGAGAATTTCTACCTACGGGACCTTTTTCGCCAGTATTTGAGTATTCAGAATCAGAATCTTTATTTAGACTGGATTAATCCGGTCTAATCATCCGGATGATTGACGTGGAGGTGAACCTCTGTTTACGGATCGTGAAGGAACACCGCCCCACTTTGAGGGAAGCCGATTGAAATGACAGGGCGAGGGGTGCTTTGTGTGCCGTCGTTCCCTGCGAACCCGTGACACCTGAGTTCGAGTCCCGCTTCACTGCAAACGTCAGCCAACGGATTACACCTGAACGGGTCCTGAACCCGCCCACCACACCTCTCTCCGTCTTCAGTGTGTTGTTTTAATAATGCGGGGGAACGAGGAAAAAATTAGATTACCGGTACCAGCCATTGGAGAATGTAATTACATTAAACACATTAACCCTTCAGCACCGAGTGTGTGGACGGCGCAGCCGTTGCCTGCTGTTTGTCGGGAAACGGAACGGGACGTCGAAAACGCTCGCCCGGGCACGGCGAGAAAACGTCGGGGGGGGGGGGGGATCCATCGGCCGGAGGGCTTCCCGTGCCTTCCCGCGGTTGTCACCGCGTTATTGATGTGCGGAAATCCTTACCCTCCCGTTCCCGTCGCTCCGTCCTGCGGCCTTGCTCGTCCTCCGTCGGGCCGCTCGTTCTCCCTTGTCGTAGACGCGGGGCAATCGCAGTGATGACAATTGTCTGTTCGGAAAAGAAAGTGTCACGGAGACTGAGAGCATTTTGGAGGTGGCTCTGTTATGTGTACGCGAGGTGTTCGGTGAAAGTTTCCCTTCACCGGTGTTGCCTGTGCACCTGAGATGGAATTGTCGCCCTCGGATATGACGAAGAGGGGAGGGAGGGAGGCCGAGATGTTAACCACCTCACTTGGTATATGCAGGAGGTCGTAGGTTCGATCCTGACCCTGACGTCTGTATATTTGGAGTTTGCATGTTCTCCCTGTGGGCGCGTGGATTTTTCTCCGGGTCCGCCCGGTTTTCCCTCCGCATTTAAAATCGACGTGCGTTTACAAGTATTTAGCTGCTCTAAATTGCCACGCGACAGTAAGCCACTACGTTGAGCTGTCTTATGTGATAGTGAGGTCGCTTCTGAAAAAGATCTGTATAGCTCAGTGGGGGCCTTACCTGGTAACAATTAAAATGGCTTAGTTCTAAGGGTGGGTGGTGCGGATGGCGGCGTGGAAGAGCGTTGTGTGGCCATTGTAAGGGGGGGATGCTCAGTCATAGGCAGAGCAGAAGGCCTTAAGCCAGGATATATACGGGACGGGGAATGTGCCCCGCACTGGTCCACCGTGTCTCTCGTCCAGTGCCAGATTATCGTAGCAGCAAAAGTAGCTACAAATGCTACGGGCCATCAATTCCAGTTCAGTGATTCTGCACTTGCGCTATTACTATAGTACTATACTGCCTTCAACTTTTATGAACGACTGGGTGTTTATGGTTAGCGATTTGTCGTATTATCTGGCTGCATAGCAAATGAAAAAATACAATTACAATTACTTAAAAAAAGGGAAAAACCCTATTATTATATTTTGGTACTGGCACAGGAGGTCCAATGATGTAGATGCTTACCCTGAGCATTGTCTTTGAGCTGTGCGCCTTTTGGCGTCATCTGCTCTAGCACCAATTGAGACCAGGCTCTAAAGAAAGCTGTCTCTGGTGTGGACCAATCGGTTTCAAGGACAATGCATATAGTATCAGAGTGTGTTTTTTGTTTGCATTTTGACTGCAAGTATTGTGGATAATGCAGACATGAATCCTTGTAAAAAAAAGGTTTAAGTTTTGTTGCCAGAAAAAAAGGGGAAAACCCCTATTATTCTTCTTTGGTTCTTTCGGTAAAGTCACGTAGAATGAGAATAAAATAATAAATTGATAATTGACTTTACCGAAAGAACCAAAGAAGATGAATCATTGCAGTCACGAAAGCTTTAAATCGAAATTTAACTCCTATTATTATTACAATTACTTTATAATGCAAATAAAAATATTTGTTTTTTATGTTTCCGTGTTTTTTTTAAATATCGGGCCCCTTTATAAAATATGCTACAGGCCCCACACTAGCTTAATCCGGCACTGGTCTCGTCCACCATTCATTAGCCAGCAGCTAATTTAACTTCCTGTCCTATCCATACAAACGGGGGCATTTTGTGTGTATGCGTTTTTTTTTAAACCGTTGACTTTGGACAGTACGTACAGCAGAGTTCTATTATACCTCCCACGAGCTAAGCCTCCGTGGCTCACATTGCGACTGAATTCAATTTGGGTTCACTGTGTCTAAATGCGACCACGTTTCGACATGCTGTGCACAAACAGGAGAGTGTGTACATATATGTTAGTTATAGTGAGATGTGGAGGGCATTCGGTCATAGACAGGGGAGTAAAAACTAAAACTAAACTATATTTTTTTTCATTGTCACCACTTAAGGCCCACTGAGCTGTATAGCTCTTTTTCAGAAGTGACCTGGCCACAAATGATAGCTCAACCAAGCGGCTCATCACGTGGACATTTACAGCGGCCAAATACTCTAAACGCGCGATGTTGATTCTAAATGTGGAGGAAAAAACCGGAGGACCCGGAGAAAAAAAATCCACGTGACCGCGAAGAGAGAGAGAGAGACATGCAAACTTCAAATATTCAGCAGGCGTCAGGGTCACGATCGAACCCACGACCTTCTGCATACCAGGCGAGGTAGTTAACCTCTCACCTTGAGCCCGCTCGTAAACGGGGGCAGGGAGCTGAGGGCACGGGTGGCTGGGGGAAGAGAGGTCAGCAGAGAAGTACAAATAACCTCCCTCCCTCCCAGTGAGCAATGGTTGACTGGGAGTCGAGTGCGATGAGAGTGGAGAAGTTTGGATAGTGTTGTGGAGGGGAGTCGAGTGAGATGAGAGTGGAGGGGTAGGAGAGTGCGTGGAGGGGAGTGGAGTGAGATGAGAGGGGAGAGGCAGGAGAGAGTGTGGAGGGGAGTAGAGTGAGATGAGAGGGGAGAGGCAGGAGAGAGTGTGGAGGGGAGTAGAGTGAGATGAGAGGGGAGAGGTAGGAGAGTGCGTGGAGGGGAGTAGAGTGAGATGAGAGGGGAGGGGTAGGAGAGTGCGTGGAGGGGAGTAGAGTGAGATGAGAGGGGAGAGGTAGGAGAGAGTGTGGAGGGGAGTAGAGTGAGATGAGAAGGGAGGGGTAGGAGAGTGCGTGGAGGGGAGTAGAGGGAGATGAGTGGGGGGAGGTAGGTAAGTCCATTGAGGATCTTGAAGGTCGGAAGTCAGTCAAGGCTGTACTTTATGACTGTACTCGACTGTTCCCTGCCATGGGAATGTCGAATTTACCTCGGCACCTCTGAGCCTCCAACAGAGGCGAGCGACACCAAGACTCGTTTGAGCGGAGAGACTCTCTGACATTGCTCTGTGTACGTGTGTGCACGTGTGTGCACGTGTGCCTCTCACGTCTAAAACCGGTGAGCATTATCTGAACCAGTCCTGGGCCTCCCCAAGGTCGACTAAGTCTCAAATGAGTACCTGGTGCCGGTGTGTAGTAAACATCACCGCTTGGGAGACAAAGGCGGTTGGGCGTGGTGCCGGCCACCTACACTTCACCACGCTGGTCGGTTCAGGGGAGCACGAGAGTTGCTTGTAATGTACATGTATGTTGAACGTCTTTCGCACCGTACGGAGCCATCGATGCTGCTAATCGGACCGGTGCGGATGTCACTCGCCGCCCATGTAGCGCGGTGTGCCTACCCCAGCGACGCGTTCGACAGAGCGGCGCGACTAACAGTGACATTTCTTCCAAGGTTGGCAAATGCTCGGCAGTGAGCAAATTGAAAATTAGCTGTTAATTTGCGGAATAATGAGCTGAACCCACCTCGGCACGATACTAAGCTGGTAACCATGGCTCCTGACTGTTCTGCTTTCACAGGGCGATGTGTCCTTTTGTACTCGTTTCTCACAACGCATGTGCTAATGGTTTTTGAAACGCGGTAGCATCTGGGTGTTTATTATTTATTATCGTTGTGTCCTAATTGACTTTGCCCGCTCTGCCCCACAGCGACACCACGTCACAGCAGTGGCAAGAAGTGCCTGAGGTTAAAGGTCACCGTGTGCTGCTCGGCCAATTGCTGCTCGTCCAGCTGCTGCACACCCAGTGAGTCGTCGACAACGTTATTGCATTTGCACATCGAACAGCGGGTTACTGATAAAGTTATTGCATTCATATGTTGAACGGTGGGTTACTGATAGTGTTATTGCATTTTTAAGTCGAACGGCAGGTTTCTGATGAAGTTATTGCATAAGGACATCAAACGGTGGACTGATAAAGTTATTGCAATCGTACATCAAACGGTGGGTTATTGATAAAGTTATTGCATTCGTACAATGAACGGTGGGTTACTGGTAAATTTTATCGTCATTTTTAGATTACTAAAATCCATGTCCACCATTCACGTATTTTTTAGGCATTAATATACTATCCAACCCTCCTGATTCAAGCAGTAAGCTGCCGATATTCTAAAACCTTTAACTGTGGCACGGATTTTCAAAGCTAATCATTCTGCTTCATAAAAATTCAAGGGGTGAAAAATGTGGGTGCAATTTTCCCTTTGAAAAAAATGGGCCTGTGGTAAAATGGTTTTAAAAATTGGCAGTCTCATCACTTGAACCAGCAGGTTTGGAAAGCATGCATTAATGTACGGACATTTACAATCACCACTGTCATCAGCATCATTATCAGTGATATGACGGCATGGGGTTGATGTTCGAAGTATGGCGTGCGATTGTAAATATATTACCGAAGGCAGACACTTGTAATCCCTCAATATACGGCCCTCATTGTATCGTGAAATCACATTACTACCACGGATTTTGTAATTCAGACGCTTTGCGGAGGGATCTTTAGCGATTGGACTGCAGGATAGGGGAGGTAAGCAACTTGGCGGTTCGGAATGGGACGTGGCAAGAAAATAGTCGGAGGCGTAGTGGTGCAGAGACAGTACGCGATGGGTGGGACACGTGTCCAGGGTGGCGGAGGGCAATTTACCGAGCCAGGAATTTGGCACGAGCGGAGTTTTCTGTGATGACATGTTGACCTCGAGCTGAATGACTGATGTGGTCAAGTCGAGGAAACAACATACTCGCGTTTCTTCGACTCGTCCGTGTGGGCCAATACACCACAGACACGAATCACCGCTGCGATCAAAATACCAATACCCGCCATTCGCCAACGAAGCGACGGCGACGTCACCGCGGCCGGCGCCTGTGCCAGGCCAGGTGCACTTTGAGGCCGAGTGAAGTGTCGAAGGCTCGATGACGGGAGGTCATGGGACAGACCCAGGGTGCCGTGGATTGACTGACTGAGACGGCTGGCAGATGCACCAGCTGTGCCTCCTATCGTGCCAATTGTTAGCACAACCACCAGCGCCAGCATCATCAGAATCGTCCTCGTCGTCATTCGCAACGTCGTTCTATCCACTGCTGGATAAAGGCCTCTCCGCACCTTGTCGCTCACGTGGGTGTTGTTTGAGCGCATACTTCACCAGGGCTGCCCAGCGTGGTTTGCTGAAAGGGGGGGAGGGGGGGGGGAGAGGGCTCAGGGCCGCTTCAGATATCAGTCGCCACCGACGTTAGCCATTGCCCTAATATTGATCTGAAGTCGGGGCGGGTTCATCACGTGCAGCTTACTCGCTGGTGAGCTAATTATAGTGAGTCCCTCTCCAAACTGCTTTTCCGGCCCAATTAGCACCGGCTGACAGTCCCCCCCCCCCCACCCCCCCCCCCCTCGTATGAATTATTACCAAATAATGGCATTAAAATGACGTTAGCGTGAGCACAGTAACGAGGGCAATTATTTACCCCCTTTAATTAAATAAGCCTGTTTATTATCATTGATGTGATAATTATTATCGCCCCCCCCCTCCGCCATTAGTTTGTCACCGTGCCAAACTCGGGCGAGATAATTGGCTATTTAATAATGGAATTAAGGGTCTAAGGCAGCAGATGTGCCACTCCCGAATCCGTTGGTGTTGTGGACACAGTTACATTTGCTCATTAAAATGCCCTCCACCTGTGCGCTATCTTTGCATCCCCCGTGACCTTGGTTAGTACCCCCACCCCCCTCCCCCTGGCCATACGTATCGACAGTTACTTAAACAAACAAAAACATTGTCTCGCACAACAACAAAAAAGAATAATTTTGATCTAAAGCATTCGTGACTGCAGGGATTCATATTCTTGGTTCTTTCGGTAAAGTCACGTGGAAGGGAAACAATAAAATATAAAACAATATATATTTTTTATTTTATTGTTTCCCTTCTATGTGACTTTACCGAAAGAACCAAGAATATAATAAAGGATATCTTTAAAATTCCAGCCGGCTGACACTTCAATGCACCTAATCGTGTCAATAACGACCATTTTCATTCCGTTATTTTGAGATAATTTGTGAATGCCTGTCACTAGCACTAATTAGGCCAAGGAGTCAGCTTTGCAGGGGGAGCTTATTTACTCACCAAATTTATGGCGGGGTATGGCATTCCCACGCAATTACTGTCGCTCAAGTGACCGTAATTAAATTCTCTGGATAAAGAATATTATGTCGTAATTAATTGAGCGATGTGTATTCAAAGAATGATTAATTTCTTCATTATCTGCCGGCGCACCACTGTTAGGAGAATACACAGACAGCGTGCGTGTCCGGGGAGTGTTTATCCCCTCGTATCTACCGGCTTTCTCCAGGCACTCTTCCTGTAACACACGAAATACTCCGTTCAGGAATTGGTCAAACATCCCAAAGTAGGGCCCTTATATATAAAAAAATGACTCTTGGGACACACCCAGGCTTTCTTCGATCGACAGAATCGGACTCGGAATATGTATTTATGCCTGAGGAATCCGATGAGCTATAAAGCAGCTCTCTCTTTCATATACGTCCAGCAGCATTCGAGCAGCCCTGAGCCAGTGCTGGAAATTCCACGTTCCTATGGTAGCGGATTTTTTCATGCACGCTAACCACCCTTGACGAGAACTGGGCTATCCGATAATCCGGTTGCTCTGCCGATTTCCGGTTTTAACACTTCGACTAAATGGACAACACGAACATAGTTGGTGGGGGGGGGGGCGGGGGGCTGTCGCCTCTGTTCCCACGTGCGCCGCTGGACAGGAGGTGATGGTGTTGGGCGGCGTTTGGTGATGTCACACTGGGCGTGGCTTTCAAATGGGGTTTCTCTTCTTCAGGGTAGGCAGGATGTTGTGGCGACTGAAAATTTGGAAAGTAGTCGATTACAATATTCGAGTCGATCATTGACTAGATCGACTCACTGTCCCGATTCTACTCTTGAATTCCCATCGCGTAGTGTTTTATTTTTTCCACCCTCGAGGGATAATGAGCTCAGTCTAGTCCCCAACCCACCATCGAATATGCAACCTTCCTTTCGAAAACCCTTGCCACAGTGGAATTTGTCCAATCATCCCAAAAATGGGCGTCGAGGCTCGGCGATACTTTCGTTGTTGAATAAATGGCAATTCGAATTCATTGAATGCAAATATACATATATATGTCAAGTTGAAATTTACCCAATACACGGTATAACTAGAATAATATATATAATCATAGCCTACGTATTATTGCATACGGGTTTAAAACCATCCGTAGCTGTTTCAGTAAAAGTGAGTCGGGAGGAAGGAGGACGGGGTCCCACAGTCGTGTCTTGAATACCCCCCCCTGTTCCCGTTGGAATAGGTCACCGCCTCCCTGTCCATGGGTCTCCGGTTCCAGCCCGTGATCTGGTTACACGGGGAGTAAATTAGCGTCGACCGCCTGCATTTACATTCGTCTCAGCCGCACCGAGCGGATGTCATGCATTGCAATTGTGAAAAAAGGTCTCCTCCATACCTTTCAGACATTACAGGAGGGGGGGGGCGTGTTAACAATGCGAGTGACGGCTCGGGTGTTCAAGGCAGCAGCCCTCTGCAACCACGGCCAGCGGAGTTTCGTTTCTCCCGCCGCCCTCGGAATTCGCGATGGGTCGATCGCCCCCCCTCCCCCCCCCCCCTTTTTGGTTGCTCGTAGTCGTGAACATTTGCGCAGGATTCACAAGATTCCCCGAATAGGTCTCAGGTTCGGCTCGGGCAATTCATAGCAACCCCCCCCTCCCCAACGGCTGTGAAGCACGTGACATTATTGAGCCATCTCTGTGAATAATTACGGAGAGAGTCAAATTTTCCCGCCTCTTGCAAAAGCGATGGGGCAACACTCATCTCTGTTGCGTCCTGTTGGCAGATCGCTAAAGCGGGTCCCAGCGGTCTCTCAGTAGGGTGATGACGATTGGCTTCCCACAAAGTGGTTATCATCTCATTTAGCCTGGAGGGATGATGATGATGAGGATGGGTGGAGTGGAGTGGGGCACCACGGTGGCTATGAGATGTTAACTACCTCGCCTGGTATACAGGAAGTCGTGGGTTCGATCCCGACCATGACGCCTGTGTAAATGGAGTCTGCGTGTCTCTCTCCCCGTGGTGGTGGTGGTGTGGGCCCTACAGTTTTTCCCTCCACATTTAGAATCAACATGCGCTTAGAGTATTCGGCTGCTATACATTTCCACGTGATAAGCCGCTTCATTGAGTTATCATTTGTGGCCAGGTTGCTTCTGAAAAAGAGCTATATTGCTCAGTGGGCCTTACACGGTGAAAAAAAAATTGTTAAATAGTTGTAATCGTTGAATAGAGCGTCTGGCACGCAGGAAGAAACCTAAGTGCCTGGAGAAAATTCACACATACGGGGAAGTAACACCAAAAGGTCCGCAGAGATAGATTCAAGAATCCATCGTCGTACCGCGATCTCATGGCCACCTCGCATACCCGAGCCTATAACACCTGCCATTCCCAAGTCGTCACCCATCCAAGCACAAATAACAAGGTAACATCCCAGCTTTTAACATCCAACCTCCGATGAGTTGCGACGACGTTGGGGGTGATTTGCTCTTTAGGCAACGCAGTGAATTCTCCAGTCTCGTTGTTTCATTCAAAAGTCCCAACAACACAAAACAAACGCTCATCAATTGGCGGTCTCATCAACACCCTTAACCCAGGGCAAACGATGCACGGGTTATCGTTCGCTTAGTTTTCCATGCGCCATTGGCTTTTGGAAGGCGA